AGCATGTGCATTCGGGACCGACCCTGGCCATCCGTGTATTCACAGTCGTCGGGCCTGTTAGTACGGATACATTGACCACATATTGGTCGGTGCCATCGCACCTCTAGTAAGCCAGGTAAGCAAGTCTCGAATAATGCAGATTGTGTCTACGAACCACTTTGCGGACGTCTGCATGCTATGCATGCTTTCCCCGTGGAAGAGCTGTGGACTGGTTGACTTGATGTGCTCCTAGGAGTGGAAGGTCCAGATGTTGTCATTGCAGACAAGCGAGAAAGTTTTGTTAGAATCGAGGTCCGTACCGGAAGTTTCTCTTGCATAGTTATATATGTCATCCTCGCATGATAAAAGTCTCCGATCCCGTATAACGGAGGTGGCTGAGCCTCCTTCGTTTGTAAAGCACTCGGGCCAGTGCTTGTCGTATCCGCGCGAAAGTGACTCGGAAGGACGTGTGAGCAGACTAGCACGTCCAGTCCCGAGATGACAAATAAAATTGTGCCTTAGACATCCTATTAACATGTCTGTTTAAAACCACAAGTTACCTTGCATGTTTGAATGTGATCACCGTATTAGCAGTAGGAGGTGCAAACAATTTGCCGACGCGTTTCATTAATGTTCCGGCAGGTTCCGGCGTATGGGTACAGTCAATAGCCGCTGGCCGGGTTGAATGGTAGAATACTGTTGGCGCTTCGAGAACATACTGAGTGACTCAGTATTTAATAGATTAGTGATGGAAACAATGAACACCATGCATCATTACAAAGTATCAGGTCTTCAGGTGCCGAGGTGGATTCAAGTTAACGCTGCGGCTGTGCAGCCCACAATCTTGATTCTTCATGGGTTAACTTTATTCCTTCTTGACTGACAAACTTCACGGCCCAACGAGGGTCAACATTGCAGACTCGAGTCGAGTGTCAGATATTATGACCACCGAAAAATTCATTCAGGTAGGGAAGTATCATTCTTCTGCTCGCACCATCTGCACAATGGACACCTGACCCGTGAACGTTAACTGAATAGTCGCCTTCAGGCTGACTTCAGCGCTTGGTATAAAACATATTTCGATTTCGACCCGTCGGGATACTTCACATACTATGTATCGGAGCGTTATAATGCTATGATTGAAATGGTGTGGTCCAGGAGCATCTTCATAAAATGGTGCTGTGACTTATGCTACCGCTCAGAACCTGAACAGCTGTGCAATGGCTAGTGACCATGAAATCACGGGCGTTGCAGACAGCGCTGGCCACTACTGGCCACCACCGAGCTAATTTCCGTCCATGGCCGTGGTCTGTTGGAAATTTCTTACTCCCGGATTCCGTGTCCAAGCTTAATTCAATTCGACTCTAGTGTATCTCCGCGGTCGTGCGAGGTGCGCTCTGTTCTCATACTCGCCGACACAGTTGCTGAATGTGACGGCGAATGATGTGCAACGGCTTTTACCTGGGATCCACCAAGGAATCAGTATTGAATTTCGTTACTGACAACAGCGCTATCTCCGTTGATGTAAGTGCCTGGATGCTGTTCAATGATTTCAACAATGAGAACTTGCCACCCAACTCGCTGCTGCGCAGCTGATGGGCAGCACATGATGCTCAGTTGTGAGCGACAATCAGTCCATATTCAAAGTAACAAGTACAGCTTTTTTGGGACGCGTCAGGTAACACAGACGGGATTCTGCATTTCCATAACTAATAGCGGTGGTGAAAAACCTACTTGGTAACAAATGCTAGTATCTCCTCGACGACCTGACTTTGGAATTCGTAAAATAACGCATGGCTGCCACCCTTGATGACCACAACTTTCTTATTCTTAAAATGCTGACCCACTTGTGCATCAACGACCTCGTTGTTGAGATGTTGATCAGCGTCTCCGGAAAGAATAAGCAGTCTCAATCCCTCCCTCCCTGCAGAAAGAAGCGGCTCAGGATCTTGCTCGCGCGTCAAGGCGGTCAACATGTCGTTAATGGTCATGTGGTTGGATGCTCCAACCCAAAGTAGCCGCATATCCCAGTTCGAAGCGTTAAGCTCGTTGATCATGCAATCTATAAAATCAATCCTCGCTTTGATCGCATCTTCGAAATTCTGCCCAAGGAATCTTGGCTGGAGTTTTTTGAGGTTCTCCTTTGGCAAGTCCTTCATGATTTCTCCGATATAAGGGAGGGCGCAAACATAGATAATGCCTGACAAATAGCCTGCAGGACAGTGCGCGCAGACATCTGCCCCAACAGTTGCTAGGTTTGGATGCTGTTAGAGGAGGAAATGTTTCCCTACATGACTTACTCACCCCCTAAGCTCCTGCAGATGGTTGTCAGATACCCTGAAAAAGTGGTGTTTGTCAACTCACCAGCCGAGTAGATAAGGCGTTTGTCGTTTAAATTCCTCCACCACAGCAGCGAAATCCGCAGCGAACTTCTGGGAGGAATAATCGCTCTTATCTAGAGGTCTACCACTCCTACCATGACCCCTCATATCATATCGCACCTGCCGCAACGTTTTAAGAACAGATTGAAAAAACACTGTCGTTCACATACAAGATAAAGTTTGGAAAGTAGCTGGTCGTCTTCAAAGAGGTTGTTGAATACGACTGTGGATAGAGTGAAGCCATGAATCAAGACAACGGTTGGACCCTCGAGGTTGCCGATGCCTTCAGCGAAGATCTTGCAACCATCGGGTGATGTCACGAACTTGGAGACCTTGGACATTTCGTTGATGAGATCTCGAATGTTGAGCTTTATATATGTCGTGACTCGTGAGGATCAAAGCGCTAGCTTTTCGGTTCGACGGTGACTCTAGACCTCTGGTGAACGAGTCCAAGGAGGAAATGGTGACATTGTTGATATTGGCAGATATCGATAATAACAGCACTGCCGAGATGCTAATTCAAACGAGTTCTAGTATACACCCGGATTCAATTATAAACTGTCACGCATTGTACAACTCTCGTTACTATTTTAATGCTTCTGAATCGGGTGGTGGGGCCCTGATGGTGATGCATTGATGGCCCAGTCCACTGAGAGAGCGTGGGAATTGATGTGCTGGAGGCTGGAGTTCGGAGATGCCCATTTGGTCAGCTTACTAATTGCTCGATCTCTGGAAGTCGAACGAACCACAAAAATGTCTCGAAACAAAGGTACATTATTTGCGCACGTGACTTAAGTGGATGCTGACACAAATGACTCTAGATAATTCTTATATGTGGCTCGATGCTTGTCTGTTACAGATGATGATATGCTTGTTTTGCCATTGGAGGCTACATGCTACTTTCGCCAGTTGGGGGAGGGGTTTCGGTGCACAGGCATTGACTTTAGCTGAATGTCCAAGATGTTGGCCGAAAGGCTCCAAGAGAGACATGATCGAAAGCACTGGACTTTGAGGTGAAATAATGGCAGAGGAATATGTGGGGGAAATTCCAAATTATCGGCAGATAAACATACAATAACGACAACATGATTATCTCATGTTTAGTCCCAGTTTACAGCACATATCCTCCAAATAAAGTCTTTGGTTTTCCTTGAATATTCAATACCATTTATATTTGGCATTTGAAGCAATAGTACAGATCTGCCAGCTAGGTACCGACAATTGCATCAATTCCGACCTTCCACCAGCTTCTACTGCCTCCCAATCATTTTGCGTGCTCAGTATCAACCTCCAGTGGCCTTTCAGAGTCGCAAAGATGGCAGGGCCACACCAGAAGGGCACTGCTAAACCAGGTCCATTGGCAAAGAAGAGAGCACTGGAAACAACAGCAAATGTATCTGCCTTGAAACGAGCATGACCTGCCGGAGAGGGCAGAGGGGAGGCACCATCATCTTTTCTCAATCCATTCTCCTTGGATCATCAGAAACCTGCAGCAGAACCTTTTGACCCAGGAATGAGTGTTGCTGAATCTGAAGAGTTAACCTGAAGGATGCAGCAGCGGGTGTATTGGGGTTCAAGTGAAGGAATGGGCGAGATTGAGCAAGCAGCAGCAGATGACATTGATGCAGTCGTTGATCCAAGCCTCCGGGATACTATGTACTCCATGTCAGCCATGAATGGGAGTGTGTCAGCTTCATGTGTACCAGTTTCAGCCCATTCTCGACCTGTTTCAACAATGTGAGGGCCCACCCCCGATGCAGCGACTGCGAATCAAGCATGCTCAGTAACTCCAGCAGCGAGCACTGCATTTCAACCTACTGCACATCACCTAGGAGCTGTACCTCCAAAACCAGTTCCACCTGCTGGAAGGGACTTGTCAGTGCCCTTCAATCAGTTCTGAACATCTGACCTACCTTCTGACCGTCCCCCAGGCTTCTCAACTGGCACTGCCCCTTTGCAATGCTCAGCTGCAACATCGCTATCCACCTCACGAGTTCCTAGCACTGGTTTTGTGGACAAACTAGTGAACCTCGATATGATTGTTGCGCAGCTTGCTGATAAATTCGATCACTTGGCACTGCAGAGTAGAGACTCAGTTGAATTCAAGCTACAAATTGAAGAACTCACCCAGGAGAATCATACACTACGAGCAACTGTTGAAGATCACCATGCTGCGATACATGAGCTTCAAACAACCATTGATGCACAGAGCACATCCCTGGAGGAACTACTTGTGTTGATAGACGAACCTAGGTCTTCAGGAAATGCACTGCCAACAGTCAGGTCTGTCAACAAAGCAACCAAAGCGATGTGTGACAACGTGTTTAATGTGAGCACGCAACATTTCATCAATATATGTGCTTACTATTTCCCAGAATGTGATCTGGCACACATTCTTACATGCAATGGGTATTTCTGATTCCAAACAAGTGATGTTGTTGGGTGTCCTCGATGATGGTTTGTTCTGGTTCAAGTGCCCAACACATGACACCAATCTTCTATGACCAAACTTTGCTGGATTGTGGTCAGAGAATGCAGATTGGCATTGTGGGGAATTCCCCCACTGTAGGCATGAAACCCCATCCTTTCCACATCATCTCACATCAGTTCCGCTTATTCCGATGGGTTCCGCATTTCCTGCACATCATCCAATGGGTTTTGCATTCCCACACATCCTTCGGAACCCACCTGCACTATCTAATATTCCCACGCATTGTTGGATGACCTTTGCATGTCCTGTCCCCATCCTTCCAGGTCCATTGGTATGCTGTATCTCCCTTCCCGTTGTTCCTAATGTTATCCGGATCACACTGACACATGCCCTTATGGCACAGACCCCTATTCCGGAGTATTGCGCCCATGTGCACTGCCTGCCTTCACTTCCGCTTCCTGAGAAGTTTACTACCTGTACCTCAGTGTTCCTTGAAAATAATCTTCCCTTTAAGTAGTGGTACTCAGGGCTTGGGTGTTTTTTATTGAATCCCATCTTTTACCTTCCCACTTTTCCTTCATCTTACTAGAGGACCACTTTGACTTATGCCCACTATCAATCTAACCTTGTGATATACTTCCTTCAACTTGACCTGCAAGTTCCAACAACTCCTTACGTTCCGCATTGTATCCAGTTGAGTTCCACTTCACTCCATTGTGGGTGAGGAAAATAGACTCTGGGTGATTCAGAAGTCTAACAAGGGTGTGAGACTTAAACTCGTCCTGAGGGGATTGCTACTGGGTAGCGGGTCCTCAAATAAGTGCGAGCAAAGCAAAGACTAGACTCTGTCTAGCGACCCAAAGGGTTCTGGTCCTTACTAGGACTGGGAACACAAAGATGCGGAAGGTTCCCGACGAGTGGAACGCAGTGCGCGACGAGCAGAACTAATGCGTGACGAGTGGAACTACGCGGAACTAACAGAACTAACGCGGAACAAACGGAACAAACGGGGAACAAACGGAACAAACGGGGAACTAATGGAGTGAAAAGAAACTATGAGCCTGCAGGAGGATGATTGGGCAAAGTCGGACCAGGCTTGCATCTGGTACTTGCTCCAAGTCGTCGGATCCGATGTCGGGCATTTCGAGCGGAACTCATGGGGGCGGGAATGTTGCAATGAGATCAGGAATAGATTTGGGAAGATATTTTAGACAGTGAGTGGAGTACTGGGAAGTACTCTGTAAGTGGAAGTGGAGTTGAGTCTATCAGAAGGTAAAAAACTAAGATCCCATCTATTGCTAACTATATAGGAAGGGGTTCCAAAATGCGCTATGCTACAACCGGGTGAGGCTGTGAGATAAGGAACCAGTCCTGAGTAGTGGAAGGATCCGTATAAGTACCGTAACACATATGAAATGAGATAGGAACATGTTAGTAACACGGGGAATGTAGCTAGTACTCACTAGCGAGGATGGAAGGACAAGGACAGGACGGAGGAGGACGTTCCGAAGGCTAAAAGGATATGATGCATGTGGTATGCGATTGTTCTGCTGGGTTCCGCTTGGTTCCATGTAGCAGACAGCTCGGGGAAGATGCGGATGGGTAGCAGGATGGTAGCGGAATGCACGGGAAGATGGTGGCAAGGCATGGGAATCATACAGGATACGGGCCTACAGTGGGGACGTTCCCCATACCATTCCATTCTGCTTGGGTTCCACTTGAGTCCCACTTGTTCCGCTTGAGTTCCGCCAGTTCCGCTTGTTCCACATTTTTGCGGATCCTCATCCTACCTGCGGTAGGGTTGAATAGGGTCGCTTAGACAGAGATTAGCACTCCCCAGTAGCAATCCCCTTTAGGGTCAAACATGCTTGTTCTCAAGTGAGGCAGTAGGCAGCAAAGACCCAACTGTGTAGTAGATTGATTTCTCTCCGCTGCACTTGTTGTACCCACAGCATGAGGATATGGTCTGCTACGTCCAACAAAAAGCCTGCAAAGTCTTTACTCAGCTTCCTGTCGAGCATCTCAAGCAAAAAACCAACACTGACATCATCAAGCAACTGAAGGTGGTGTTTGAGAACACCAGGGGATCCATCAAGAAAGGGAGCAAGGGGCAAGACGTGCAGGAGGTGAGGAACCATAAGCAACGGCAGACTGCTTGGAAGAATCATGTGAGTATTTTCGCATGATACCATACTCTACGTGCCTTTTTAATGACATCATACGTGAGAAAAACATCAAGAAATCAGCAATTGACATCCGAAAAGAGACAGAAATGCACAGACCTGAGTGGGACTGGTTCTTCCAAGTTGGCTATCAATTGACCGATGAATTTGATGGTGGTGGGACTCACAGCAGTAAACCTATGGTCGAATTTGCATCAGACAGTGAGGTGGGTCAAGGACCAGCAACAAAGAAATCCTTCAAGTCAAAGAATGCGGACACAGTGTGGACTTCTCGACCTCCACTTTATCAAGACAAACAGGTGAGACAAGCTATGCATTGTCGTAACTGATCTGATGCACGTTCCAAGGTTAATGAGAAGGTTGTCCTGCTAAACAACGCTGTTAGTAAGAAATGAGCGGATTGAGGGGGGAAGAAACTTAGTTGTTCCCATCACTGTGGGTGAAAAATACGACAAAGATCTTCCGAAGCTAGCAAACAAGAAACACAAGATCCCATGGCAATTCATTGATGCTAACTGGCTTGCTGAGAATCCAAAAATGGACGTACCCTCCTGAATTGATGATGATATTCCAGTGAAATATTGCGACCCTGAGAGTCATGGAGATGAAGATACATTGTATGATGGGGGAGACAAAGAAGATGAGGAAGAACAGGGTTACCCACCTGAAGGGACAAATGGTCAGCTCTTGCCTTGTTGTCGCCGCGGCAGACCATGAACTCACCATAATGATACTATAGATACCAGGTTTGAGGGTAAAGTTTCATCTCCTTTGAAGATCCGATTCTGATTTGAACATGTCAATATAGAAATGCACGAAAATTAAGTGCCGATGTTTGAGTCTGGTTTGCATGGGAGAATGGTATGGACTTGAAATCCTGTAATATTAGCCTGCACAATCAAACATCAGACCATGTATTTCTATTCCTGCTGCTGTACTATTCAACATCATTGAGCTCAAGATTGATGTCCATGTCCACTTCTGTCCCGTCCTGAGATGTTGTGAGTAGCAGAAATAAAAATCACACCAGACGTACATGATTGTGGGCTACCATCACCCAATATTCAACACCAGAAACGGTGATGGGGATGAGTATGAGTTGTCCTGATGTGGGTACAACAAGTGTAGCAGTGAGAAATCAATCTACTACAAAGTTAGGTCTTTGCTGCCTGCTGCCTCACTTGGGAACAAGCACATTCGACCCTAAAGGGGATTGCTACTGGGGAGTACTAGTCTCTGTCTAAACAACCCTATTCAACCCTACCGCAGGTAGGATGAGGATCCGCAAAAATGCAGAACAAGCGGAACTAGTGGAACTCAAGCGGAACAAGTGGAACTCAAGCAGAACCCAAGTGGAATGGAATGGAATGAAGCGGAACTCAACTGGATACAATGCAGAACATACGGAGTCATCAGAACTTGCAGATCAAGTTGAAGGAAGTATATCACAAGGTTAGATTGATAGTGGGCATAAGTCAAAGCAGTCCTCTAGTAAGATGAAGGAAAAGTGGGAAGGTAAAAGATGGGATTCAATAAAAAACACCCAAGCCCTGAGTACCACTACTTAAAGGGAAGATTATTTTCAAGGAACACCGAGGTACAGGTAGTAAATTCCCAGGAAGCGGAAGTGAAGGCAGGCAGTGCACAAGGGCACAATACCTTGCAATAGGGGTCTGTGCCATAAGGGCATGTGTCAGTTTGATCCAGATAACGTTAGGAACAGTGGGAAGAGAGATACAGCGTACCAATGGACCTGGAAGGATGGGGACAGGACATGCGAAGGTCGTCCAACAATGCATGGGAATATCGGATAGTGTGGGCAGGTTCCAAAGGATGTGCAGGAATGCGGAACACATCGGACGATGCGTGGGAAATGCAGAACTGATGTGAGACGATGTGGAAAGGATGGGGTTTTATGCCTACAGTGGGGGAATTCCCCACACCGACACAAGTTCAATCTCAACGACCTCCATGTCACCCAGGGCATTTCCATACCAGACTTGCATGCCAAGATCAATTGCCCTAGCAACATGCAGTAAGACACAAAATTGATGTTGAGAGGTACGAGACAGACCGTAAATCCCATGGGAATGCCAGCATGTTATCATCTGTAACAAAGGGACGAACAACAGCAACTGTCTTGGAAATTTCACCCTGATCTTCATACTTCATGTCAATTTTGAAGATCCATTGAATTTCGACAGCAACTCAACCATTGAAGTAGGCATAGTGAGCTGATTTTCTGTGGGGTTGTGTTGCTGCTCCGTAGTGCAGGGCTTCAACAAACACATGCGAGTAATATTTAACATAGCCCATGAAGTAGGTACCATGATCTGCCAGAACAACATCAGCATGGATTACAAACCCTAACTCTCCCCACTCATCCTGCAGGAACTGCAGGACAAGACCATATAGCATAGGATCGAGTGTCTGAAGCCTGATATCCTTGGAATGATGGGGATATGTTACATGTCCTGCCTTTGTCAGTACAATGTGTGATGTATAAATATGTACATGACTTACATGCATTCCTGCCCTCTCCAAAAGATGCTAAGTACTCTTGCAATGTTCCACAACGTGGGCGAGTTCCACCTTTCAAACATGATTCAAGAAGTTTGATTGAGTCGTGGTCATTTTCATCAGGCTCTGGAAGTCTCCGAAAAGTGTTTAACTACAATAGGAATTAGTCAGACTCATAGTATGAAGAGAAAAGAGAATGTATGAGATCATGGACAAGAACCCATTTCCACCATTTGCGCATCATTGTACATTTGAGTTCACAACCCTTGTGATTATTATGGTTTGTCCTACTGAGAAAACTGTTGTTTCATTCATATGGAAAGACCCATGTAGCATAGCAAGGCCCAAACTGGAGAAACTGATGCCAAAG